TTAGAGACTCAAGTGTCAGGAGAAAGTTCCAGTTTGTAAAGCCATCTGCCTGCACGGCTTACACGTGGTCCCATCTGAGGAAGGGAAGGAAAGAGATGACTAGGTGTCTTCCCAGTCCCTCTTGTCGATGCTGAGGCATCTGTGATTGCCACGTGGGCCTTGTAGGCTGGAGGGAGTTCATACCAAGGGCCCCTTCTGATGAATGTCGATGTGCTGTGGAAGGCATTTGACTTCCAGGAGAATGACTTATGACAGTGTTAAATGGAACTGCTGCGCTCTCCGAACTCTCCCTTCCCACTCCCCGCTCCATCTGTTTTTCAACTCTGACTCTGCCAGCAGTCTATTCTTGCTTCCTGTTTCCAATAACTTCCTCAAGGCACGAATGGTATACAAGCCTCACTTCTATGAGGAGGAGGCCACTCAGCCAGGAATCAGGAGGCTGGAGCTAACACCCATGATTAACATGCTGGCCCTGAAATGCGAGAAGCTGGGAAAGGAAGACTATGGGGTGTTTCAGTGACTCATGGTTTCTACCAGCTTCCTGTTAAACCTCGGCTCCCCCAAAGCTTTCCCTGATATAATCAAAATTATCCCAGTGCAGACCACATGCCTCTTGATAACTCTCCCAACACTCCCACCCAATGCAGGTGGTCCATGTTGTGAATTGCCCATGTCAATATTCAGTCCCCTTCAGCCACCACTCAGTACAATCGGGGCCATCTTCCTCTGTGACCAGACTGGAGCACTCAACCAGGGCTGTCAAGTTTTACCATTATTTCAAATAAAATTTAATTAGAAAGGAATACATATGGTTCTAGAGCTTTTGGTAATGCAGCCCTCTACATCTGGGATGTCCTTATTCTCTTTCTCTCTGCTCATTCTTTCCACAAACATTTACTGAGCTCCTATAATGGGCCAGGTACTACGATTATGAGGTTATAGGTTCTTCCCCTCAAGAAACTCACAGTCTAGTGGGAAATCCAGATAGATAAATTAGTGTATTATTTAATGCACTCTTAGGGTGATAAACAAGGTATTATTAGCAAAACACAAAAGTAGTATAACTAAAAGTCAGCTAAGAGTGGAGAAGGCAGCCTGGAGGAGGTGACCTCCGAGCTAAGTCTTGAAGGAAAGGTTGAGGTGAGCCAGGTATGTGTCTGGGGAGTAGGGGTAGGTCCCAGGCAGAGGAATTAGCAGGAACAAAGGTATGGAAGGTAAGAGCAACAATGTTGTGTACTGGGAACTATAAACAATTCTATCTTACATAAGGATGTGTCACAGTTAGATTTTGCATTTCAGAAATATCACTTAGGCAACGACACAGAGTGCAGAGTTGAGGAGGAAATAGCTACAGGCAGGGAAATAGTTTTAAAGGCTACTGCAATAGTCTAAACAAGAGATGGTGGGTGCCGGAACTAGGGAAGTGACAGGAGGAATAGAGAGACAGATAAGAAATTGAAAAATATTTAGGAGGCAAAATCAGCAGGACTTGGTAATAGCCAAGACATGGAGGCAGGAGACCAAAGGCAGGAAAATGAGAAGAAAATGTGCCCCAGGCCAATCAAAGGAGATTGAGAGATCAGAAGAGAGCAGTGAGCAGTGGCTTTATAAAAAGTCAAGATGGGGATGTGACTGAAAATGTCAAGTGCTAAGAAAGGTCATGCAAGACCAGGACAAGAAAATTTCCATTAGGTTAGAAACAAAATGTTCATTGGTGACCATGGCAAGGGTGGTCTTAGCGGTGCAAGACAAAATTGCATGAGATGAAGATTGAATAGCAAGAACAAAATTGTATTCAAAACAGAATTCTTTTCTCCTTTAGATCCCATAGACAGAGTTACTTGGAGCTTAAAAGCTTTTTGAGTGTCCAAATTATGTTTGAGGTCTGAAAAAAACTACTGGCTTCAGAATGCAAAAAGGAAACTGCAAAATTAAATTAAGACATGTTTAATTAAATATCTCCAAAATGTAACATTGTTTCAACTTCATTAATCTTTAAATTTAATATTCATAAAAACTTCATTACATGTAGAAATAATTTTTTGGTTAGATTTTTAATTTTGCAACATTCTTTTGTATGTATGTGCAATGATTGCTGAGAAATCACAGCCAATTGTAAGTTAACTGTTTATTGCCACTCAGTAATATCAGAAGCAAAAATTTTTAAATGCATTTAACATAAGATGTGGGTACATTTTGTTCCACTTGCTTTTATGTGAAATGGGTCCTCCAAATGTAGGTATTTTTAAGGGCTTTTAGGTCTTAAAATAGTTCTGATGTAGACAACTCTCAAAAAGCTTGGCCATGGAAGGAGAGAGAAGTGTTGATTAGACAGAATTGGAGAGAGTAAGGAGGATTTCTTTGTTTTTAAGGAGAGAGAAACATGAGTATGTGAACATACTGAAGGAGAGAACCAGTGGAGAGACTGGAGGAGGACCAGGGAGGTGACTGTTAGGGAGGCAGGGGCCACAGCTGGAACACAGGTAGCAGAAGAAGACCTAAAGGGAAAAGAAAACCCCCTCTCCAGAAACAAGAGGAATGTGAGACTCTCTGCAAGGAGGCTCTTGTCCTGTTTTCTTTTTTGTTTTTTGGTTTTTTGGTTTTTTTGAGATGGAGTCTCGCTTTGTTGTCCAGGCTGGAATGCAGTGGCATGATCTCTGCTCAAATGGCAGCCTCCACCTCCTGGGTTCAAGCGATTCTCCTATCTCAGCGTTCTAAGTAGCTGGGGTTACAGGTGTGAGCCACCACACCTGGCTAATTTTGGTATTTTTAATGGAGACAGAGTTTCACTATGTTGGCCAGGCTGGTCTCGAACTCCTGGCCTCAAGTGATCCTCCTGCCTTGGCCTCCCAAAGTGCTGGGATTACAGGTGTGAGCCACTGTGCCTGGCCCCTTTCCTGTTTTCTATCTCAAGCACAACTGTTGCAAAGTGATGGGGGCATCCTGTAAAATCTCAGCAGTCACTTGAGGACTCCAGTTACCTGAGCAGGTGGCCGTTCTTCATGTCACCACCGTCATTTCCCCATTCACTGGGGCTGTTCACGTGGCCACCTTCCACAGGGGCTGGCCCGCAAAGGTAATTCATCCATGTCGCACAGATACACATGCTAACACTCCAGTTCTCACTGCCCCTAAATCTGTGGGATGAGGTGTCTGCCTACAAACCCCAGCCAGCTCCCTGGTACATTCCTTTTAAGTGTCACTCTTTCATTCCCTCCTTCTTGTGGCTCTTAATGCTCCCAGAGTGAAAACCTTCCACTCAAATGGCCCAGGTTAGAGGGGCAGGTGTTAACATAAGATGTGAGTGCATTTTCTTCTACTTACTTTTTTTTTAAGTACTTTAAGCTCTGGGGTACATGGGCACATCCCTCAAGGTTGTTGCATAGGTATACACATGCCATGGTGGTTTGCTGTTTCCCTTCCCCACTCGCCTACATCAGACATTCTTCTACTTACTTTTATGTGAGATGGGGCCTCCAAATATAGGTGTTTTAAGGGCTTTATGCCCATGTAAGCACCTCCCTCCTAAAAGGTAGAACTGAGTTTTTAAATGATCCCCTATTTTTGATTATTCAAAATAGAGGATTCCCGCATTCATGCAAGTACTCAAGAGTTGACTGTGGACCTGCGGATCAGAGTGTGTAGTTCATTTGGTGTGTCCATCATGGGAGTCCTCAGAGTCATTCTGAGCAGATTTTCAGTTGTAGGCAGGGACTGCTACTGCACTGGGTTATTTTAAAAACAAAAATCAGACATCTACTTGGGGCTTTGTGAAAGGAGACCCTGGGCATTCTGAAATGGCAAGATAGGGCTATTTTTCCAGCTTTCCAAGGTACAAAAGGTAGCATCGATTTCTGCTCTGGCCCTGTGACTCATTTATAGTGCCGTGCGAAGCTGACTGCCCCTGTCGCTGACGAGGCTCCATGTTTTGTGAGGACACTACTGACTAGACATTCAAATGTGCAAGCTTTCCTGAAGAACACGGGACACAAGAGACCCTCCTGGACGAAAGATGTCTTTTGATTGCAGATTGTGACCTCAGGGTGTTATGCATTTATGATGCACCCCCTAAAGTTTGGTTTTCTCTAATGCCAAATAAAAGCATTTGATTACATAGCTGAACTCAATGTTTGACAAGATGGAAATGAAACAGCCATATCCTATAAGTATTTACTGACTGTATACTATATGCCAGGTATCATGCTATGCAGTGAGGACATGACCAGAAATGATGTCAGATTCCCAGGAACATGCAAACTTGCACAATGCTTCTAACATTACCAATTTGTAAACTAATTTTATGAATGGCTAGAAAAGAATCACCTGGGAAACTTCTGTAAAAATACAGATTCATGGGCCCCATGTCTAGTAGAGACACTGATTCGGGTGGGTCTGTGGTAAGGACTGGGAATCAATATTTTCAGCAAGCTTTCTAGGCGGTTCTGATGGCAGCTGGTTTGGGAACCACTTGTTTGGTGGGATAAAAAGTTTTACTTTCCAAATAAATATTTTAGTCACATGTTGACAAAGATAGGTAAATATAATTTTTTCTATTCCTGGTTTGAGCAAAACAGTTGCTTTTCTGTCACATAAATACAACATTAGGAAGATTGAGTAAAACTTTTATGCAACTGTTAGAATGTACAGGTATTTTGGTGTCATGTCTCTCTATAAGCTGTCAGAGTTTGCCTGAGCCCTCTTCTTAAATGGTCCTCACTTCCCAGCCCCAGACACCCTTTGGTAGGCTTCTTGCCAGGCTCCTTGATCGGTTGCAAGATCGCTCTCTTCCATTGTATTTCAATTATGCTGCATTTTTTTCCAGATGAATAATTAAATCTCTTTAAGGACTGGGTATCTACAAGTCAGGTAGACACATGATTGTCTACTTGAGTATCTACAGTACTCAAGTTCTTGTTTAAATGATTTTAGCATTTTTGATATAATGATTATGTGTTCCTGATCTTTTACAATATTTTTCATTTGCTATCACTTTCTTACAGGCCTGGGAATGGAGAATATTGGTGGAATCTTTGTGGTTCTTATTTGTGGCTTAATCGTGGCCATTTTTATGGCTATGTTGGAGTTTTTATGGACTCTCAGACACTCAGAAGCAACTGAGGTAAACTTTCAAAGGGGTATGATCCATAGTGTTGGCAGATGGGGTGAAGTTCACAGGTTCATACACATATCAAGTCATTTCAGATGCTTCCCACAGGAAGTGCAGTGAAATGAGAATCCCTGTGCTCAGCAGAGCGGATTTGGATCAGTGCTTCATTACTTAGTAATTGTGCAGCCACAGAAGGGGCACTTAACCTCTCCAGCCTTCAGAATTTTCTTTGAAACAGCCCAGCAAATAAACATGTGAAAAAGCTTTTATGAACAACAAAGCTTTCTAGAACTATCATTTAAGATGTAGTAGAGAAAAATAGGTGAGAGTACCAGGTTACTATGGAAAAGATGACTTCAGTCCTTTCATTTTGAATATGGTTTTGCCTTGCAGGGAAAGATCCTGAGAGATATACTGACTCATGTGAACCCAAGAATTTTATCTTCCTTCTCAGGGATTTTGAATAAGTTCAATTCAGAGACAGGTTAATATAAACTTTACCCAGACCGAACAGTTCGAGAAGAAGGAAGAAGACTTTACCCCACTCTTCTTCCAACCCACTCCAGGGAAGATATATAAATCCTCACATGTTAATTGCACGATTAGATTTTTTTAAAGTTACGTTAACTATCTCAGTCTCTCAACTCTGAATCTTCCTAAAACCTTCTTCCCTAATTGGCACTGGGGAAACACCTCACAGCAGGACAGACAGTGTCCCTAGACATCTATGGAGTCTGGCCTCACTTGGGACCTCACCACAACACTGCCTGCCAGTCCTGGTCCTCCTCTGTGCTCAGCCTCTTTCCTGTCTCCTTGTAGGACTTCCACGCTGTTATCCATTCCTCAAGTCCCTCTGCCTCTGCATGCATAGAGCTTCATTTTACTTCCCATCTCCCAAGAAATCAGGAGTGGCCAGCCCTGCATTAAAATCCCCACTAAACATCTCCCCACAGCTCAGCCACCCTGCAGCTGCAGCAGATACCCCAGTCCTCCCGCTCTCTCTTCCTTGATCCTGTCTTTCCTCAGCTACTCCAGGATTATCCTCTTTCTCCCCTGTGTTTTTTCTGCCTGCTTTCTACAATCCACGATTATGCATGTGTCTGCATATTTTAATATAATAGGAAGATTACTATTGCTCTTGCTCTATCCCTCTCCTCTTCCAAACCAAGGGGATCCAGCTGAGAGAATCTCAGTCTCTATCTCCTTACCCTCCATTTGGTCCGCAACCCAGGGCAGCCTGGCTTCTCCCCACCCATTCACTGAAAGGCCATGGCTTAAAGGTCTGACCTCTCCCAATGGACCAAACCAAAAAGAATCTATTGGGCCTTATTGGACGACATTGTGTCCCTTGATCATGGGGATACTTTCTTTCAGAATCTCTCCTCCCTTGCCTTGCATGGCACCCAGCACACTTGGTTCCCCTCGTGTTGCTCTCTCCAGCTTTACTGGGTTTCTCCTTTTGCCCATGCCTTAAAAGGTGATGGTCCTTACTTTTTCCCTAAGACTTAAATCAAGTGTTCCTTTCCTTGTGAATCCTTCATCATTCCTCCTGCTGTCTCCCCTGGACCAGCAATTGGTAATCCTTCTCCTTCCCAACACCACTGTAACCTATGCACAGAGCGCTTGCACACCGCATTGCAATTCTTATGGTATCAGCCCCCTACTAGAGGTTGAGCTGCCTGAAGTAAAGACTGTCTTTTATCCCTGGGCTTGACACACAGTAGAGAATAGAGTATATACACAGGAGACAGTCAATAAATCTATGTTGTCAATTATTGTCACACGTAACAGATTAGGCAGGTGATACTGTTTTTGTTGTAGTTATTATTAGAAGCACAGAGAGGTTAAGTGACTTGTCTCTGCTATTTAGTTAACAATTGGGGGATGTGATGGGGGCCTATAATCCAAGTGGGAGACCTAACTTAGGCCACATTCCATTAGGTGACATCACCTTTCTGTAACTGCTTCACATTTCATTATTCTCCCCAAAGCTCACCCATGGTCTGGAAGTACATTGAAAAATTCAGTGAGGAGTTAGAGCACTCCCAATAGCTAAAATAAGAGTCAATGCTGTGTTAGCCATTTGGCTCTTTTATGGTAGAACAACCTTCCCATTGATAGAATTGGACGAAAGAACATGAAAGAACTGAAGACTTCTGCTCCCATATGGTCTAGGAAAGTGTCCTTTCAACTCAGAGTAGAGAACTCAATAGAGCATGTGTGGGCTTTGAGTTGATAGGTTGAGGTCCCAAGTTCAGGTTCAGCTATTGGTCGATTTTTGGCAAGATACATAACTTCTCTGGGCCTCCATTTCCATTTGTGAAATCAATGTAATAATAGTAATAGCAGTAATAATACAGGCCCATTGGCCAGGCACAGTGGCTCATGCCTGTAATCCTAGCACTTTGGGAGGCCAAGGCAGGTAAATCATAAGGTCAAGAGTTCAAGACCACCCTGGCCAACACAGTGAAACCCTGTCTCTACTAAAAACACAAAAATTAGCTGGGCGTGGTGGTGCGTGCCTGTAATCCGAGGTACTCGGGAGGCTGAGTGGGGAGAATCACCTAAACCTGGGAGGCAGAGGTTGCAGCGAGCCAAGATTGTGCCACTACACTCCAGCCTGGGCAACAGAGCAAAACTCAAAAAAAAAAAAAAAATGCAGGCCCATCCTGTATTTTTTTTTTTTTCTTTTCCCCCCCCCCCCCTTTTTTTTTTTTTTTGAGACAGGTTCTCACTCTGTTGCCCAGGCTGGAGTGCAGCAGCACAATCTTGGCTCACTGCAACCTCTGCCTCCCAGGTTTAGGTGATTCTCCCCACTCAGCCTCCTGAGTATCTGGGATTACAGGCATGCACCACCACACCCAGCTAATTTTTGTGTTTTTAGTAGAGACAGCGTTTCACTGTGTTGGTCAGGCTGGTCTCGAACTCCTGACCCCAAGTGATCCACCTACCTAGGCCTCTCAAAGTGCTGGGATTACAGGTGTGACCCACTGCACCCAGCCCCATCCTATATTCTTCATCCACAGTTCTGAAACCTAAAAAACCTCGAGAGTTCCAAGTTCCTTGTTAGTTTGATGTAAACACACTCAGTGGTGACTTTGCTTGACTGATGTTTGTGGTCACTGTCTCACCCGGTGTGAGTGTACATACATGTTGCTACAGAAATATTAGTGGGTTTGAATTCAAGTCTGCCCCAGACACATTGGTTGTGATACATACTATACTGTTGGTGCATTGTATTAGCCTCCTAAAGGATCCAAAATATTTTGAATTTTGAAACTCCGCTGGAGCCAAGCATTTCATATTAGGAGATGGTACACCTGTAGTAGTAGTCGTTGCTCTTGTTTTAGTTATGAGGATACATCCGTCTCCAGCTGTAACTGGTTGGCTAAAGGAAACGAGAATAGCCTAAGGAACATAATGTTCGCAGAGGCATGGTAGCCTTTTCAAACACTTGGGAGACTGACATATAGTGGAGGAATTGTTTATTTAGGAGGCTTCAAGGTCCAAATTTAACCGGAATCAATGAATGAAAATTTCAGGAATAGAAATTGTTAGCTGGGTAAAAGGAAGCAGCATTTAATGGAAATGTGCAAAAACAAAAAGTGAGATCATTGTCTTTGAAGGTGTTCAAAGTTTGGAGATGAGTTAGTGGGGCTCTTGAATATTATGGCATGGAGGCCGTTTGAACATTGCATGGGAGTGGAGTGAGGAGATGAACTGAAAGGCCTTTATCCTAAGATGACACGATTCTGTGACCTCTGCCCCTCTCATCCTCCATCCCAGCGGACTCGCAGGGGGCCCGCGGGGGCTGGTTGAGAGGCTGGGCGGTGACCTCGCTGTCTCCTCCAGGTGTCCGTCTGCCAGGAGATGGTGACCGAGCTGCGCAGCATCATCCTGTGTCAGGACAGTATCCACCCCCGCCGGAGGCGCGCCGGAGTCCCGCCGCCCCGGCCCCCCATCCCCGAGGAGCGCCGGCCCCGGGGCACGGCGACGCTCAGCAACGGGAAGCTGTGCGGGGCGGGGGAGCCCGACCAGCTCGCGCAGAGACTGGCGCAGGAGGCCGCCCTGGTGGCCCGCGGCTGCACGCACATCCGCGTGTGCCCGGAGTGCCGCCGCTTCCAGGGCCTGCGGGCACGGCCGTCGCCCGCCCGCAGCGAGGAGAGCCTGGAGTGGGAGAAGACCACCAACAGCAGCGAGCCGGAGTAGCCCCGGCGGCCGCAGGACGCGCGGAGGCCGGCGGGGCGGGAGGGGAGGGGCGGGGCGGGCGCCGCTGTCCGCCGCGAGCTCGGACTTGTACAGCGTAGACACCTCTCGGATTTCGGATCCAGTCACTTTTAAAAAAGATCAAAGAGCCTGACGCCCCAGCCAGAGACCGCGCCCGGTCAGGGAGCGGGGTCCACCCGGAGACGTTGCACCCAAGTGGCAAAGGACGGCTCTCCCTCGTGGGCACAAGGACCCATCTTCTCCCGGCGGGCCTTTCCCTCTCGCCAAAATAACGGAGTATAGGGTGGGGGGAGGTCCCTGGCTAGACCAGTCCAATGAATTGGTGGAATCATCAGTTGAATTTCCCCCTAGGAAGGGGCCAGTGTACCCTCCGTCTAGTTCTTACAGAAAAAAAAAAAATTAAACAGGGAAGTTTTTCTTTTTTGGATTTGTACATTTTTGTTAATGTTTTTTTGTTTTTTCTTTCCTCCTCTCTTTTTCTTCTTTGTCTTCTTCTCAGTTCTGTTCATTTGTTTTGTGGTTTTTGGAGGGGGAGGCTGGGTTAGGGAATGGAAGTCTAAATAATCCCTATTTCTTCTTTTTCCTGACTTTTGGGATATTGAGTCACCAGTGCATCCGATTTCAGGTGCTTAACTCTCCTTTCTGTGTGGTGATTGAGGGGCACAGAAGAAGGGGTCTTGGGGAGAATCAGATGGAGAGCCTCAAATAAAAGTCCACTGAAGTAAATTTTTAGATGCCAAAAAGCAGTTAACTCATCGTATATATACTCAGAGAGACCTTGAAACGCCTAGGATGTCAAGGGTTAATCTGTCTTTCCTTTCCTTTTCTCTTTCTGACTTTCACTATCATTAAGTTTGATCTGATCTTTTGTGAATGTAATTTCTGAAGACAGACAGGGGAGGAGAACAGAATGCACAAAGTATCCTGGGACTTCGTTTAAGGAGCGGAAGGAGTAGATAGAATTTTCCCATACCATGGCCTTGGCTTCCGTTGGAACGTGCCGTTCATAAAAGAGGAAGGACTGGGTCACCCCGCTGGTATGGTGCATACTTTGTCAACTGCATCTCTTTTCAATCAAACTCAGTGGCTGCCTATGAAGCCAGACCCACAAGACTACCATGGATTGGGTGGTTTCTCGCTACTTAGATGTGAGACCTGGGTGCAAGTAAGTGTGTGTGTGTGTGTGTGTGTGTGTGTGTGTGTATGTGTGTGTGTGTGTATTTATTAAATAGAAAGACCTTAAGTAATCAAGAATTTGCTAGGTTCCTGGGAGAGAGGGGGAGTCTCCTAGTCAATACACAGGCCTGGGAACCAGGAACTCTTGAGTCGTAACCTCAGCTTAGGGCAGTAGCCCCCACCTTGTATGACTTTAGGTAAAGCATTTAACTTCTCTTCCATCCACCAAATAGGAGTTACTGATGCTGGCCAGGTTATCAGGTGACTGCTAGTGACTGCTCTCCATGTGAGTGAGAAGTTTGCAGGGTCCAGAGCACACATCTGATGGGAGGGATGAGTCTTTCTGCAGCTGCTTGACCTTTGCTTGGCTTCACCATTCCGGAGTTTCACGCAGAGAGTTCTCATTTGCTGATGGAAAACAAATTCTATGCAATTTCTGATTGTAAACTTAGAAAATTCAGAGAGAGAGAAATAAACAGCCACTACCACCACCTCCACCTCCACCACCGCTGCCACCACCTTGAATGGAATTGTCCTCACTTTTGTCGCTGTTGCAAATGTACTAAAATAAAGACATCTTTGGAAGATGATGAGCTTAATTCATGTTTTTGCCATTTGGGTTGGTCAGCATCCTCTTCATGCCAGGACAATTAGTTAGGGCTGCCATCCTGGGGGCCAAATGGTACCCTGATTATTCCTGTGATGGATACCCATTTTGTCCTCACCTGACCTCGCCCATGAAATTGAATCCTTTTTCCTTTTTCTCTTTAACCATCAAATGACAACAAGCTGTGCAAGACACTTGTGTCTTTTTTTAAACCTTGCCTTGAGCCTCGTGGAGAAACGTGGATTTGGTGGAAAGGGCACCCGAAGGCTGGCTGACTACAGACCCCATTGGTGCCACTCTGCTCCAACGTGCAGATTCATCCCAGGCCTCTGACAACCTGGTTCCTACTGTCAGATCCCATTTGGGGCGGGAAGGGTGGTTTTTTTAAAAAAACTCGTTTTTATGAGCAGGCTATCTTGATCAATAGCAAACTTTTTTTAATGGATTAGTGAAATAAATGTCCCCATGCATCCTTTATAGTCTGTTTCTTTCTCTGTGTGGAGTAAAGATAAGATTGACAGCACTGGATGGTTTCTGTTAGCTGCTGAGAGCAGACCTGCACCTCGCTCAAGATGGTGGGCGAATTTGCAACCAGCTAGTACCCTTCCTTGGTTTGTCTCCGCTTTTTATCTGTTGGTTGTTGGCTTTCTTTTCCACTCTGTATTTTCTATCTGACTCTGTATACTGTATAAAGCAGTTTTTTCTTGTCTGTTTATCTTTCTTCAACTGGAATATTTACAATAAAACAGAAACAAACCCTGAAATGTTAGTGATGGATGAAAGCTATTTGGGTTTAGAAAGTATGGTTCAGTGTGTCTAATATCCAGGTACCAGACTTGAAAAGCAAATAAAAACATAAACCCACTTTGTGTCTTCCCCTCCACCTGCCCTCTCTCCCCCTCTCTCCACCTCCCTGTCTACTCAGGAACCCCCCACACTCCCCCCTGCTTCAGCTCTTTGTTCAGATCCCAGAAAAGTCTAGGTGGCTTCTTTCAATTTTTAATCGTGGGAGCCTGAGCCAATCCGCCCCCACCCCCCAAAATGGATACATATGTTAATGAAGTTCAGGATTCCTGGGGTTTTGTCTTCCCAAATGCACTTTCACAGAATAGTCATCTATTGATACCTGGGGTAACTCTAGTCAGATATCACCCCAGATTCCACTGGGAGCTTGAAGATTACATCAATTAAAATATAATACTTTGCTTTATTTCTTTTAATTGCTTTGCAGGGCCCCAACTGTCACAAGATCTGTACCTCAGAACCCAGGTAGGGTGTAAGCCGAGCATGGAAATGACCGAAAATCTTTTGGCTCCCCCTAATCCACTGCTCATATGAGAATATTCCTCCTGGGACCGTGCCAGCTGGCTCTCTTATTGGTTAGGTGAGACTGAAATATCATGATAACCAATCCACCTGGGCCACTCTGTGAAAGTTTCTTAGTTTTGGATTCCAAGGAGTTTAATTTTCTTTTGGAATCCAAGGGGGAACTTCCCTGTGATGTAAGAGTCAAATACATGAGGCCAGAAAAGGGCTGGGGCACTTCACAAACACCAGATTGGTGGTTTGAGGGAGGCTTGAGAGAGCCATTTGTGGCCCTCCCACCCAATGGAGTGTTCACAGCAAGGTAGAACAATCTGGACGTGATAAGGGAGATTTGAGTGCCTGACTAGTTGTCAGCTTTCTTGGGGTAATAACAAAGAGGCCTGTTTGGAAAATCCGGAGAAGGAATCCTTTCATAAAGATTTTGCTTAAAGCTAATGCTTCCTATGGGGCCTTCTCAAAGAGAAATTTAACCTTGAGTTGCCTTGCACCATGAGTAATTCCTTTGCCTTTCGGTGAATGGGGACTTTCTCCCCACAGGCAAGTCTCCACAGTGGCCAGACAGAGAGTGCCCTCAGGAACTGACAACCTGCCCATCCTAAGGTATGCCTCAAAGGCTGGGAATGGCATGCTCTCCTAAGACTTTTCCCACAGGGAAAAAGTTGTTACTGGGTGTGGCTTTCAAAGGGAAAAAAAAACAAAAACAAAAAAAACTCCACATTTTAGAGCCAAAGTGGTCAACAAGCTTGTTGTAATTTGAGGGCAACCAAGCAACAGAAATTCTGCCACTACTGTTAGAACATTATCATTGAAGTTTTATGAATTTCATACTAATTTCCAAATCTGGAGAATGAATGAAACAAAGACGTATGTTACCATTCAACAAATAGCAGAACTAATGCCAACATCAAGAAAGAAGTCTACAAAGGCAATGAAGTAAAAAATAAGCTCTCAGACCAGAAGTGGCAGAAAAGTTGAGGTCCCAAGAAGGGTCATAAAAAAATTGAGCATATACTATAGCCATAGGTTAACAAAGCATATACATATAAATATTTCACTTGCAAGGATTTACTGAAGCATGTTAGCACATTGTGACCGATGAGTGTAGCAGCTAAGGGCTTGATCCTATTTACAAGTTAGACTAGATACAGATGATGGATTACACATCGCTCCATCATCTATATCTAGGGCCAAACTTCCTCCTGTAGAAAATTAGCTGAAGATCCTGCCCAGTCTTCAGTATTCCTTGTGCCCAATTAAATGTTGTCTCTTGGCTGTCAGGGAACACTGGCAATTTTTCCATTGGCACTTTTCCATAGATCGCTGAGTAACCTGGAGAGGGTATTTGCCTAGCACCCAACACCACATTAGATTTTGCTGGAAATAAGACATAGAAGCAGCGATCTGTACTCTGCTTGAAGGACAAAACTAACTTTAACTTATAAGAAACTGAAAAAAAATCGCACAAAATATAACAATAAAAGTGCTTAGAGTGTGTGATTTGGAATATTAACCACGTAGAAATTCAGAGGAGCTCAAAATTCTAAGTAGTTAAAAGAGCAAAGAAAGGCTAAGCAGAGGAAGCAGGACTGTTTGTGTGTTTGGGTTGTTAATTAATTAATTTTTTGATGTCTGGGAAACAAGATCTTGCTCATTGCCCTTGGAGTGAAATATGGTTAATTCATGTTGATTAATTCAGCACCCCTCTGATAAAAGATCATTTGTTATAGCTGTTGTTTTCTCTTCACCCACAGCATCCCTTTTTGAGGAATTCTGGCTCTCAAATGATGCTTCTTCCTGTTTGCTGCCAACACTAGAGATTCTCGCCGCTGCCTCATCCCTTGGCTTCTTTAAGTTGTATTAGTGGAATTAGCTGCAGATGCAAACAGCCTAGACCTACAGAATACAGAAAGGCCAACTGAAACAAGCAATGCAACTGTCTAAGTGGATTGGGAGTTGTTTTTAGAAAAAAGATCAAAGAGTTTTAAAATTGAGGTGAAGGAGTAAGAATACAAGACGGAAGGTGTAGAGCCAGTGTAAAAATTAATACAGAACCAAATGTCCACATTTCTGATGTACGGGAACATTTAGAACTGCCTTCCTTTTCAGTCCATTTAACCATCCCGTTATTTTAGCACAAGGAGTCTACCTGGAAAGGTATTCTACTTGGATTGTTCTGATTAGCTTCTTAGTAGCTTTTCCATTAAAAATAATAAAATTTGACTTTCGTTTCCGTCGTCTGTAACCCTGTAGGCCAACTGGGCTACAAAAGCATTTTAAATCATTAAGATTGGTCAAATGTGAAGGTCAAAGGAGAGAAGTCACAAGCAGGTGGCCAGCACAGGCTGGCTCTACCGAGAGACCGTGTGCCCTCAAGCTCAAGCGGCAACAGGACTTTAAAACCCGCTTACAGAGGATCAGATGAGAAATAATTCAGTATAGAGATACTTAAAGTTATTTTTCTTTGTTAATTTTTCCCTCTTATATAAACCAAACTAGTGCGTATGTGTAGTAGTTTAGCACAGACCTACAGGTTCCTGCCAGTGTATGGGGTGTGTGTATATGGTGTATTGGTGTGTATATGGTGTGTGAGTGTGTGGTGTGTGTGTGAGAGTATGTAGCCATTTAGCACCGACCTGCAGGTTCCTGCCACTGTATGTGTGTGACATGTATATGAGTGTGGGGTGGCATATGTGTGTGTGGGGGGGGTTTGGGTGTGCATATGTGTGTGCAGTGTGTGAATGTGCAGTATGTGTGTGTATGTATGTCAGAGTGTGTGTGGTGTGTGTATGAGTGTGGTGTAGGGTGTGTGTGTGGTATGTGGGTGTATATGCGTGTGTGTGTGTCATGTGTAAGAGTGTGGGATGTGTATTTGTGTAACAGTTTAGATCAGACTTACAGGTTCCTGTCACTGTATGTGTGCTTGTGGGGTCGGGGGTGTGAAGCGTGTGTGGATGTATTTGTGTGGTGTGTGGGTATGTATATGTGTGTGACTGTGGTGTGGTGCATATGTGTAGCAGTTTAGCACAGACCTACATCTTCCTCTCAGTGTATGTGTGGGGTGCGTATGGTGTGTGTGTGTGCTGTATGTGTGTAGCAGCTTAGCAGAGACCTACACGTTCCTGTCAGTGTGGATGTAGTGTGTGTGCACAAGTGAGTGTGTCTAAGTGTGTAAGTGTGTAGTGTGTGTGTGAAAGAGTGTGTGGGGTGTGTAGCAGTTTAGCACAGACATTCTGGCTCCTGTCAGTGTGTGTGTGATGTGAGTGTGGTGTGGAGAATGAGTGTGTGTGAGTGTGGTATGTGTATTGTGTGGTGTGTGTGTGTGTGTAGCAGGTTCCTGTCCGTGATCCTAATGTCCCTTTCAAAAGAAGACTCTTCCCATTATCACTTCAGCCTTTCTCCGTGCTTCTAGGTAACACTGCTGGCTTTAATCTTCTGGCTTTTGGAGGCTTAGTTCTCACTGAATGGTCTTTGATGTAATTTATTTCTAAGCTGAACGCATATGTAGATGCGTGAGGTAAAAGGCGTTTTTTCCCATTCCCAGGTGAGTGATAAGATGCCTGAGCTGACTTCTTAAAACTTATTCCTGCTCTACCTCCATCAGTTGCAAAACAAAGTTCCTCTAGCATTAGTAAGTGATTAGAAAAAAAACGCCGTGCAGATAGTGTCATTGAACACAGCCAGAGAGAACAAGAGCAGTGCAGGCTGGCTTTCACTTACACTCCATTCTTATCAATAACCTCATCCATTTTAGGCAGAAAATAATTTTCAAAAAGTTCAGATAATGAAATTGTTAACATTTGAGAGGTTGGATTCGTCAATGGAGTAAAGAATTCAGAAACATTCTCACTTAGGTAGCCTATCTCTTGCTTCAAATAAAATGGTAAATTTGCTAAAGCTGCCACTATTTTCAGAGGATTCAAAGGTCTCCCTGATCAGGCCCCTGCTGATCTTTCAACCCTCTCCTGACACTTTTCACCTCCTTTCCACCCCACACAGCTGTCAAACTGTACCCCTCACCCCTAGATATTGATCCTCTGCATCCCACTTTCTGGGTGTTTGCTCTGGCAGTTCCCACCTCCTGGAATGCCCTTCCCATTTGTTCTCTACTGCCAAAGCCTACCGATATTTCAGATCCAGCTTGAATACCACCTCCCTTGTGAAGTCTTCAATGATCCCCATTTACTAAGGGAATAAGCAATAACTTCTCCCTCTCCTGAGCATTCTCAACCTTTTTTTTAATGACCCTTATCACCTACTACATTAAATTATATGTGATAAATATGCTGTCCCCCTTACTCCCACCTACCAGAGTAAGGTCTTTATAGAGAAAATCGTTTTTTCATCTTTTATGTTTCACAGTGTGTAGGATTCCTGGGCACATATTTGGTTCCCATGAATGAATGCATGAATGAATGAGGCAAATTCAACTGAGAGCAAA